CCCACGGGGTTTAGGTTTTTTTTCCAATTCTCTCCCCCATCCCACAGGGGTGCGGGGGGGAGGGTGAGTGAACAGCTGTGTGGTGCTGAGTTGCCAACTGGGGTTAAACCACAGCAATGAGATTGCAGTTCATGGCTTGAATAGAGCCATGTGGAGTCTTAAGAAGGAAAAGGTCTTATATTATCCTAGAGCTGTATCTCTTTCTTAAAATACATGCGTGTATATACATCTGTATGTGTGCACACAGGCACTTACTGACACTACAACTCGTGATAGTTCCATGCTACTAATCTGCTTGCCTGTTCTTTTCTGTAGCCCAGATGATTTACTGAATGCACTGAATGAGGGTATCAGCCGTGCTGATGTGATCATTACATCAGGAGGTGTATCTATGGGGGAAAAGGTATGCTAAATTTAAGTATGACTTGCTGCAATATATGTTAGAATTTCAAGCCAGAGTCTGTCACCAGAGCTTCTACCTTTGTATTAATGTTTATTAAAAAGGGGTCTTACTTTTTTTGGAACACTTAAATGTGAATTAATTCAGGAAATAGTCTTCAATGCTATCTTCATTCCCTTTGTTCTTATTACTGTACTATAGTAGACATAGTACAACAGGGAAGATTTTAATTCTTGATGTGAGTGATTTGCAAATGTGTTTTTATTTAAGGAATGATTTATGTAGCTATGATGAGGAAGGTGCTTGATTAATAGCACATGAAGGTAACAGACTTCTTTTTATTCTTAGAGCAGGTAAAATGTAGATAGAATAAAGCTACTTTGAAAGTACTTCGAAAAGCAACCTGAGTGTATAAATAGCTCTCCCTTACTCAGCAGATCTGTTTCCTGAACATGCCAAAGCTATATCTGTTACAAAAATAGTCTTATCACATTTTGCGCCTGATAGTCCTACAGAGGCAATACATACGAGACACAGTGAGCTGATATATTTGCCTTTTGAATCATTAACAGAATTGTTGATTGAGTTCCTGTTGATAATCCCTGTGCCAAAACCATCAAAGAAAATAGGGATACACAGATGCTGGTGGGGCGTAGATGAACCTGCAGGACATTTATTAATCATGACTTATGCGAAGGAAAACTCAGATTACTTTTTGATCCCAGGCTGAATCTGTGAGTTTGGCAGGTAAAAGAAACATCTCTCCTTTTATAACTAACAGATTAAAGACAGTCATTAGGAGATGGCAAACATGAGTGCTGTTTTTGTCACTTTTCTGAGTAGAAATCATATTGTTGGATACATCATGAAAACGGCTAACTAGTTAAACCAGTGCCAATTACTTTCAATCACATTATTGTCCTCAGCATTCCTAGAAAACTAATCAAGGACAAGTGCTGGTCTTTAAATTGGGAACGTGGTGACATAGTGCAGGCACAGGAACACTAGGAAGTCACTGGACTGCTGAATGGTCTTATGGGCATTTATGCCTTCTGTCTAATTTCTCCCCAGTCTGAGTTTGAGGCAACAGCATAAAGTCAATAGGCTTTATATTCCACTGGTGGTTAGCCCTCTGATACTGAGCTTGCAACAGTTTGAGTGAAATAACTGTGAACATCCAAAACATAAATAGAAAGTAAAAACGGGGTTAATACAATCAATAATTGAGAATTCATGCCTGGCTGAAAAAAGTTGTACTTGAACACACACAAAAAAAAAAAAAAAAAAGAAAGAAAAAGATGGGAAAACTGCAAGGGAGCTTTAGATTTACTGCTTCCAAAGTCTCTCTTCACAGGTGACTTATGTCCTGTGTCTTTAATCTCACTAAACACAACAGACAGGATACCACATCTTTGAGCACAGCAATTTTCAATAAAGACTAAACAAGTAATTCAATTTGTTTTAATAACTGGATCAATTGTGTTTATGCAAAATCATTTAACTTGAACTAACGCACAAGCCACCCACAGTTTTTCCTTTCTAAGGACTGTTAAACCCGACCACTGTGAATTAGACCATGTCCCCAAGAAATTACAATAATTACAGTATCCTGGAAAACTATGATTTCTACAGTACACTATTGATTTCAAAAGTACTAGGAGATCTCTAATTCTGCTGCTAGATAGCTTCCATGGCAAAAGTTAAATAACTTGATGATTTTAAGTCATAACTTTGAACCATAAAGGCTTTTTTCCATCTTTGACATAGAGAATGTTTGAGTAATAGGTATTTGTGGGGTCCTCTAAGATTCTGATGCTGCAGCTGACTTTTAAGTAAATATATTACTATCACCTCGTGGAGTCAGGTTTGGCACCTAAAATGAATCTGTTCTTCACCTCTTCTTTTTGAAAATGCTTTCTTTCAAATACTGGAAATTCCCCACTGGACTGTAGCACTTTCAGGATATGAAAAGTCTTTCATCTTCACTTGATACTAATTAATTGCTTTGAATGCTTAGATGATGTAAGCCACTTTGATGTTATTTAATTGATTTTCTTCTTTTAATTTAAACAGGACTATCTTAAACAGGTGCTGGATATTGATCTTCACGCACAGATTCACTTTGGCAGAGTTTTTATGAAACCAGGGTAAGAAATCTTTCTACTTAGGAAGCATAGATGGAGGCTATACTGGGCCAAATATCCTGTGTAAGTGCTTCAGTAGGTTTCAGTTTTCCAAATATACTATAAACTACATGGTAGATATATATGAGAAAAGAAGCAAAATCAGTCCTATTCAGATTAGTTATCATCTTTATGGGTGAAATTAACTGGAACAGAGAGATTACTTTTTATCAGTAAGAGATATTTCTCTAACTGTTGCAAATCAGGTTTGGGAATTCGGGGGAAATCAGCATGGTAGAAACATGGCCACAGTCTTCACTGTGATCACAGAGCTCAGATATTGACGTCGTTATGAAATAACCGGGAAATATAAGGGCATTTAACTGCTGGTTTGCGTAACAAGCATCTCATTTCACTTCAAAATTTGCATAAGTCATATTCCTACAAAGAAGCAATGTCTTGAGAGAGGTTGAATGACAGCTAGTTTACAAAGTTTTACCTAATTGGTATACTGAGCATAGTAATTTTAAAGTAAACACAGTCCTTTATGTGTTTAGTTTGCTTCAGAAAACTGTTTCAGTATTGCTTTCCTTTGCTGTAGCACTGCTAATTAATGAATCTGGAAGCATGCTTTGTAGAGAAAATGAAAACTACATGTATTGAAAATAGCGAGTTCCCTTTCACAGTACAGTAGCAGAAAGACGTCTAGAGCTCTGCCTCACTAACCATGGAGTGCAGTTTGTTTGCAAGCTAGGTTGGCACGGTCCAGTAACACAAGGCCAAGTGCAGCTTTGAGGGATGATTCCCTCTAGCCCCTAACTGTTGCCAGGGAGCAGAACAGAAAGTGGGTGTTTGCTGTGAAAACAGACAAATACTTTTACTGCCTCTGCATTCAATCCTGTAAAGAACTGCATGGGGGTTTGGTGCTTGTACTGCTACTACCACAACCTCCCTTCCGTAAAAGGAACAAGTGAGCTGAAAGCATGTTTCTTCCCGTGCTGGATGTAACGCAGGCATGGAAATTGCTCACTGCTTCTGTCATACTGTTACAACCGATGTGGGGAAGTCCCAAAAGTGCACTCCAACCTCTGCTGCTGACAAGAATGGATAACCTGATTTAGAGAATTCAGAATATTAAATTCTGGTTCTGGCTTATCTGAAAGCTAACATAATTCTTTCTTCCGGTGATCCCTCTGTAGACTTGTAGGAATAAACTTTTAATAACTAGCCAGAAAAGCTTTACGAAGTCTTCTTTTCCCCAAACATCCATTTTCATTTTATGCCATAAGAAAGAGATTTCTCACTGCTACCAAAACATTTGGTCATCTAGTCTTACTGAGAATGTAAGCACTCTCATCTTCATTGGCTGTAGTGCAATAGCAAATACTGCGTCTTAGTTTTTATTAAATCTGTCTTAAAAGGCCTTAGATAGGAATTGCGATTGCTATCTTGGGAAAAATTCCCTTGAGTAAGTTCCAAGAGCAAAGCCAGAATTTGCTTTGTATGCCTGTATTTTGATGTGCTACATGACTGCAGAGTGATGCCTGGGATTTACCATTCCTCCACTTGATCTGAAAGTTGCTGAGCTAATGTAAAGTTGTATCTTGTCTAGCAGCACTGCCAGAAGAAAGTACTGGAAGACTTTACCAATGCTGGTGTTGAAATCTCATATGGGAATTCAGAGTTTCCAGTAAATACGAATTAGCAATTAGATTTTTTTGTAGCTCAGTTTGTGCACCAGTTATAAGATTTGGAGGTCTGGCACATAGTTACCATTACATTGGAGACATTTTAAAACAGAAACTTCAAACGCCAACTTCCCCTGGTAAAATAGGATATTGATTAGTCCTAGCAGATACAAAACTAGGTAGTAATGGTCAAAGCGTGGCAAATCTCCAAAGTTGCTGCTGGTCAGCAACTATCATCTGCTGGCCAGGTGATAGTTCAAGATGAAGCCAAGGAACTCAGACTAATTATTGCTCCTATAAAGTATAATTTCTGATGTTTAAAAGGATGCTATTAACATAGGTATATAGAAACCTTTTTTAAACGGATGACGCCCTTTTCTTTGCCAGCCACATTCTTGAGCCATCCCATTACTGTCCTGTTTGTATAACTGTAATAGCCCTGGTAGATCACTCGGGAGCAGCTCTGAACGGCAGAGAGAGCTCTTTACTGATAGACCTACATCTTACCTGGCTGCAGCTCTGCCTGTGTATCTGAATTTGTTCGTCTGCAGACTAGCTAGCATTTGCTGCTCTGAAATACTGCTCCATTGTCACTACTGCTGCAGACAATGGAGTAAGGGAAATTAGAGTCACTAATGTTACAAAAAATTTGGAGAACCTTATATGAAAAACAAATACAGCTCTGTAACTGTGTAATTTCAGTATTACTTCTTTGTTAAGTGGCTTCTAGCATGAAGACAGGATTTAGATTTTTGATTACTGGTTCACCTGCTCTTAGATGTTTCCTCACCAGAAGCAAAATTGTGTATTTAAAACTTCATAGCTGAATACCAACAAAAACTAATTGTTCTGTCATCACAAAGAGAGGATTATACCCCCAGTACGGAATAAGCAGCAGGTGCTAATGAACTGCTGAGAGAGATCCTGTTTTGTTTTCTTTTCCAAATGTTTTATATAATAACATAGTAACTTGGCAGTGCTAGGTTAACAGTTGGACTTGATGGTCTTAAAGGTCTTTTCCAACCTAAACGATTCTATCATCCTGTGATTCTATAATAATGTTCAAAGTCTAGTGCAGATATTAAATAGCTTTCCTTTTCCATAGCCTGCCAACAACTTTTGCAACTCTGGATATTGATGGCGTAAGAAAAATAATCTTTGCACTCCCAGGTAAGTTGTTTTTTGGATTACTTTTGTTACTGTGCATAGATGACAGACATGAAACAGAATAGTGTTGTTTACAGCACCTATGTCTGGTGTTGGCATCCCTGCGGAAGGTACCTGTGAGGTTTTCCCAGAAATTTCCAGAAGAGACAGACTTATAGGGTTATACTAAGGAGTTCTTTCTTGTTCCTGTCCTCAGAATTTGCCGGTGTACAGGCCTTATGATTTCTTCCATCCAACAATTTCTTTGGGTCTTATAAGTGGTACTATACACGGGTGGTTTTTTCCTACAGCTCCCTCCACCTTCACAGTAAATATTCTGTGCATGTAAGTCAGTGCATCCACTCTGAAGTATTGAAAATGGAGACAAAAACGAGGGAATGCCAAGGAACATGTCACAGAGTATTTTTTTTATCATGATTGTACTGTGGAACCAAAAGAGGGCAGCGTCGCTTCACCTCCTGCGTGCTGCGTCGCCTCGGGAAATCACAGCATTCAGAATATACATTTCCTTAGGGATCTGGCTACAAATCTCTGTCCTCCTAAATCAGGAGGAATTTATTTTACTCTTATTGCTCTGGCTTTGCATGGATTTCTGACTACACAAGGAATCCTGTTCTTGATAAACTGGTGGTTTTCAGATGTATCTCTAGTGCTTTTTCTCTCTCTTGTTTTAGTTGCTGCGGTACATTTTCTTCCAGGGGAGAGATCAAGGGAGCATCTGTCTGATCGTAGTATTTATTTTAGGACTGTCATCTAGGGAAGTCCAGATGTGTAAGCCAAGCGGTGTTTGACAGACAGTCATACACCTCTCTTGTGAGTCAACAGAAAACATACAAATCAGTAGAATTCTCCTCAGAATTTGTACTAAAGCATTTTGCCACTCTGTTAGGGAATTGAAGGTTATTTTTCCATAGGTCTTGGAAACCTTAATCATGAATCCCTAGCCCTATCAGCTAGGACCTATACCTGTGCACAATAAACCCTGCACAATAAACCCTGCCCTGGCCCCAGACAAATATAGGTGTAAAACAAAAGGCAACAGATGAACAGAGGCAAATGGTGGGGCCCGAGGAACATAGGGCAGTTCTGGGCAGAGCAGGATTTCAGCACACCATCAGCCAGAGAGTGTAGCTTTCAACAGGTGTACTTGCCACATGCCATTCCAGTCTTGAACGAACTGTTTCCTGTATGCAGCATGAAAAGCTCTTTAGAGTCCTTTAGAGTGCAATTGCTATAAAAACATGAGACCACTTTAAGCATTTCACAGAGTAGATCAAGAGCGAATCACCACCAACTGTTCTTTGTCCTACAGGCAACCCTGTGTCAGCTGTTGTCACCTGCAATCTCTTTGTTGTTCCTGCACTGAGGAAAATGCAGGGTATCCTGGATCCTCGGCCCACCATCATCAAAGCCAGGGTAAGAAGCTTGTCCTCTATTTAAAAATTCTGTCATGATGTTGAAGCACAGCTCTTTGGGCTCTGAAAGGCTGGCTGGTTTGGGGAATCTGAACCCTAGACTAACTCTGGCAAGTTGAAGGAAGTTCACACAAAACAGAGGTACATTCTCAATCTCTGTTAATGGTAATATTCAGTCCCATAATTTCTAAGAGTTAGATGGCCATCTAATGGAGCAAGATATACAGATGCAGAGGCAGCCATTTGCCAATCAGGCAGGAGGGACGCTTTCCTGTTTAAAAAAAAAAGTTTGTTTTAACCTGTGGTAAAAAATGCGGAGTAATCTGCGAATACCTAAAGAGTTGGATAGTTCTGTATTAGCAATAGGAAATACAAACTTCAAAGCCTTTCTGTTCTTGAGTGATTCATGGAAGTAACCCACATGACCCGCACCCTAAGCAATATAAATCCCTTAAACTATTCATTTCAGTCTTATAAGAAATCATGGATATTGTAACTCTGTTTAATATAGATTCAAGACGTTATTATGCTCTATTATTCTCCTATTTTTCATTCAAATAAAGTACCAAGGAACACATTACCTTTTATAGTTTTCCTAGTGTTCTTGGCTAGTGCACTTTTCTCTTACTGCTTATCCTGTGTCTCTCTTTCCCACCTCCTCGGGCATCCAGATTTTTCTTTATCTCACAGCTAAAATATTCTAAAACAGAGAGCAGTTTGTAGCGACCCTCATTTTTGCATGAATTTTCCAGTGTGTTCCATTTAATTCCATTGCGAGCCATCCCCTGTATGTCTTTTCATTTCAAAGACTGACCATTTTCCTTTTATCAGAGCTAGTAGGATTTTAAGTGTGAATAACTTTTTTATCTTTATGCAGTGTAATCCAGAGACGATAAAGCTTTTTTCCAGAGAAATACTACCTTTAAACTGCCAGTAAAGGAACAGCTTTGGACTATTCCACTTAATGCATGTAGACTCCATCATACACTTTGATATTATAATATCACAGTTGTATTTCCCTTAAATATATTGCAGTCTCTACCTTCTACAGCTTTTGATCTTGCACTAGACATCATCTGACCTCAAAATGGAAGTTTTTAAAAAGACTTGTTTTTAAGGAAAAACAATTGAGCAGATGGTTCCATTATCTTAGACAGTGTAATCTGAACGCATGACATTTTCATCCTTTCTTTGCTTCTTCTACAGTTATCATGTGATGTAAAATTGGACCCCCGCCCAGAATACCATCGGTGCATACTGACTTGGCATCACCAAGAACCACTACCTTGGGCACAGAGTACAGGTTAGTGCGCAGTCGCACAGACTGACAGACGCACTCACACAGGTCCTTGCCTTCCTACATATATGTCTAAAAACAACCAAGCGTCTGCATGTGTTTTTTCATATAACCTTCCTTATGCAGACTGATTTGCTGACATACTTGTGCACATGCGTACATGTACATTAGTATAAAATTCAGTCATCATAAAATTCAGTCTTCATATCACTTACCAACTTAACCATTAAAACTTCCTTTATCTGAATAAACTGCCTTTATACACACACACACACGCACTCACTCAAAATACAGCTGTATGTTTGCATATGTACACACATTCCTTTTTATAAACATCCACCCATGCTTACTTGCACTCACAAGCACATTTGCTTATTTTTGCTCTTGTGCATGTACTAAACAAACACAAGTTGGGACATAGGTAGGAACAATACAAATAAAAGAAGTGTGATTCTAGCTGAACTGGAAAAGTAGAAGAGAGAGCAAAGGCTGTATATGTTCTCCTAAAACAGACTAAGACTTTTATTAGTCATGTTTGCCACCTAGGGATACTTCTGGATACTCAGCTGCAGTTGAGGTAAATACCGTATTTGAATACTTTTTTAGCTGTATACTGCTAGAAGACCGACTCTGCCAGTTTCTCAAGAGATGCAGGTCCTTAAACAACTAATTGTCTTTTTGCTACATCCAAATTGTTCAATACAAAGCACTATATACAAGTCTCCACAGGGAAGACATTAGTTCAAATGCATTGTAGTGTTTACTCAGAGAAAGTTCTTACCATTGACACCCAAGATCACACAGCCTCTGACATATTTCCAGGTATAAGTTGAGGTACTACTTATATCTATACTGCTGTATTTGGTTTAACTGTTTTGTTGTGCACCGCTTCTTTCCTTACGCAAGCAGACTGTTTGGAATGATTTCTCTGTCGGTCTGGAAGTTTGAAAACCAAGAAACTAAAGGGCGTGACTTTTTATTGCATTTTCATTTTTTGTCAGTACTAACAATATGATACTGTTCATCTTCAGGACATGTTGTGAAGCTCAGTGTCCCAAAGAAACCCATTCTTTTGAGGTGGTATATATTATGGATTTACGCAGCCGGCCACCGTAACAGGGTCTGACCCTAGGATCCCGCTGAAAAATGTAAAGTCCGAGTGAAGGTTTCCAATTCCTCTTCTACTAGTTCTCAGGTTACAGCTCAAGCTGGGTGCCTCTGGAGAGGGACCCCTATCACAGATCGCACCCTCCAATTATACCTGTACACCCAGCACCCAATCCCCAAGTCCAATCACTTAATTCTGGTCGGTGGTCTCTTGATTTCTTACTAGTTTTCTTTGTCGCTGGGCTGGCCGCCTTCTGAAGTTACCTCATTCTCTTGGAATTGTTTCCTTGATCCTTATCTTCTTCATTATGCTAGCATCTGGCAGATTCAGCTAGTTCTGTGTTAGCAGCATTAGTTTTATCAAAAAGTTTACTCTCCATCAGCTCTTGTGGCCTAAGGTTTCAACTACTTTAACTACTACTGCTAAGCTACTAATGCTAAACGAGACTATTCAGAGAGAACAGTACAGTTGATCTAACTTATTCTATAACAGTACATTAAAAACATTCTAGAATGTGCTGGTTTTAGTCTTTGTACAATTGGAATTAGGTACACAAATTGAAAAATAAAGTAATTTTAATAGGATTAGGAATTCCAATGGAAAAGCAATTTACTATGACAAGGTACGAGGTACAGATAATGTGGAAGGCTGGATACGAAAGCAATCAGCAGAGGGAATGAGAGTTTTGAGAGCCAGAGCAATGAGAGGCTGACTAATTCTCTACAGAGTTCTCTGTTTCCATCCACCTTGGAAGAGCGAGATCCCAGCTCTACGGATAAGTTAGCAACATGAACATCTTCGTAAGAACAGCTCTGGTTTCCCATGTGGAGTGTTGCAGCATTTGAAACTAACTGAAAACTTAACTGAAATTTTTCTCTCGCTCTCCTGTAGGGAATCAGATGAGCAGTCGTCTGATGAGTATGCGCAGTGCCAATGGACTGTTGATGCTACCTCCAAAGACAGAGCAGTATGTGGAGCTTCACAAGGGGGAGGTGGTGGATGTCATGGTCATTGGAAGGCTATGATGTCACCAGCAAGAGCGAAGCTTTGATGCATGTCCACATATCATTGACTGTATCCTGTAATATGCAACGGCACAGCTAGTTTTTCTGATTTGGATAAAAGTTGATCAGTATAGTCAACATCTTGAATTATATTTCAAATGGAATTTAAATAAATACCTTTTAAAAAAAACTTTAAAACAAATCTTAACAAAGAAATTTATTCTGATTATATCAAAGCAAGTTTTTCCTTTCCTTGCAATTGCTTTGTGTGTTCAATGCTAGTTCTAATAGCGGTAGCTTTTAGTAGACAGCAGTAGGTGCCTGCAGAACTTGTGTTTTTTCTCATCTTTAAGATACAACTACTTATGCTCTTAAAACAAGGCTGTCTGCTTATTTATACTAGCGTAGACAACACTTGGATTTCCCTTATTAGTATGCTTCATAACCGCTTCACAGAGAGCTTTTGCTTGTTCTTTCTCTTGTATCTCGTGTTGATGTGCACAGTGCCAAAAGCAGAGTGGCTGCACTGGGAACCCAATGAAGCCCCGAGGTTTTCTTGCCTCGCTGCGCATTCAGGGATCTCTCTTGTCCCAGCAGCCACCCAGCTCAGTACTCTTGGGCAGTAACTGGATACCTTTTATTTCAACAAAAAAAAAAATTGCTTCCTTAAGTGCTGACAGCCTTTTTAACCAATACATTTAAAAATGTACAGAACTAAAAACTAAAAAAAATCAAAGACTGATCTTGTACAGATATTAGTGTTACCAGCATTCGTGTGGAAATTAAATGAGCAAAGAAATAAAACTAATGTTAAACAACTCTGTACCATAACATTTTCTGTAATGATATTGAAACTTAAATGAATAAAAAAAATCCTCAATCATTATTTAAAATTTCACCTGTTTAGCCTTGTTGTTTGAACCGAAAAAATAGTGGTTTAAGAGGGTATTTGGGGTGGGGGAAGAGGACAGGAAGGAAGGGAAAATAGTATATGGAATCTAGGGCCTTCCCTCATGTACAGTACCATGAGTGAACTGAAAATACAGAGTGAGCTCTCGCTCACTCATCTCCCAAGGGACAAAATGGAAGCAGCATTTGGGGGGGATTGCAATTGGACTACTCAAAGCTGGAGAATACTTTTTTCCCCCCCATCTAAATTGCACAGCAGTTGCAAACAGCCCTTGTGCTACACTGTGTGGAATTTGATAGCACATTCATCTTTTTTTTTCATGAGATTCTCTTTTTGATACTGGGACTATTCAGCCCTCACTAAATTATGTATTTTGGTAATTTCACATTTCATCTAGGATTAGGACCATAGCAGTGTCCTACAACACCTTGCTTCTTGGAGTTCGTAGGTGAAATGCTATCCCATCACTCCATTCATGAAGCCAGAACATTTGTCTATGGTATTTTTTGAAGACTTAGTCAGGGAGGACACCAAAAACTGGGTTTAAGTCCTGACTGCCACAGAGGACCAGAGCTGTAGTTCTATGACAACCGCAGAGGGCATCCCTGAGGCTGGTTTGAAAACCAAACTGTTTGCTGTGCAACAGCCCGAACACTCCCTGCACAGGCCATTGCAGAGGTTGAAGGCAGGTGGGCATACACCATGTTCAAAGGCACTCCAGGGGCCGATCTTTCAGAAAAATAGTAATGCAACTTGCTGATCATATTTCTTTGTTCCAGACTACATGTCCACATTCGTGATCTCTCTATGTAGCAGCAGGATGGTACCAAATTAAATTCACGAATGCCTGTATTTACTGGACCAATATTGTAAACCACAGAAGAAGGGAGAGAGAGGAGAGCTAACTCATCTCTGAGAAATAATCTAGAACACTGCCTTTTATAATCCAAAGGATTATTGTATAGTTAGGAGTTATTACTGGCAGCGCATGTAATGAAAATTGGAAATTTATAAAGGACACCAGTAACAACCTCAGGGAAGATTGTTCATGCAATTGGAGATGCTGGACAAAGATAAAAGAGAGATGTGAGGAAACCTAGCCAGAAATATCTTGGGTCTGGTTTACATTAAAACCATTCCTCAAAACAAATGTGGCAGAGAAGAGTTGGCACAGTGCTGTGTATAATGCATGGCTCTGTTTAAACCATATCTTGGCATCATAACATTTATCTACCATCATAACAAATAAAGCATTTAGAGGTTAATCAAGATAATTTTTTTCCAAATCACTGATAATATAAATGGCTTTAGCTACACTACTGTCTTTTGTAATCCCCTTTGCCCAGCGTTCAAAGCTTTATGCAAGAAAATAAGCTTTGCAGTTTCTGGGAGAGACGCTCACAGCCCAGCCTTCGTTAACACTGAAAGTCATAACAGTATGTTGGAGAGGTAACTCTGGGAGCAGTACAATAAATCATTATTACAACTATGTCTCAATTACCAAGCCTAAAATCTGAAGAATTTGCCTTGGTTGTTGTAATATAAATGGATATAAATGTGATATAAATAGATCAATTCAAATCACTTTTTTATTTTTAACATTCCCAACTCACAGTTTCAGGGGAGATTGGAAGCATCAGAAAAGAAATCAAGGACAAATGGATCTTCAAGTATGTGGTTACTTTGGTTCAAGGACTGAGACTGGCAAATGGAAACATTTTAAGGAAAATTTTCACTATTTTTACTTCTCTAGTTAAGGTTTTAGTACAATCAAAATACTAACTAACTTAACAACAAGAAGAAATGCCAGCAATGACTGAAGGTAAGGTTGGTATTCCAACATTTCTAGTACTCTTCTTTTTACAGCATTTTCTTCAGCGCCTGTACATGGGAATGATCATACACAGTGGGCCTTTTGAGTCCCATTCATCCAGCAGGGATAATCCTACAGAATCTACAAATCATACAGCAACTTTTGTATCCTGGCTAGCTGGTACCAAAACGATTGTACACCTGGATGTGAAACATCGTTCAAAAATTGTCTGTATTCAACCAGCCAAATAGAGGAATAGATTGGCCTCTTCCAAATACTAATTTCAAAACTTTAATTACAGAAATTACAACGTTAATTCTATCTTGATATTAAAATATGCTAAACATGAAATGTCTTTGATCTATAGGTAGTTATTACGGATCTGTGTGACTCCAGAGATTACTAATTAACATGGAATCTTTAGCCTTTTTGATTCTTGAGCTGCAGGGCTGCACTTAAAACATATTACAAGATGAGTACTGCTTAAGGACAATGTGCAACTGGAATCACCCTGCAGGTTCTGTCTTTGTCCTCCCCAGCTTGCTGCTCTGCACCAAGTGCTAAAGGCTGTCTTCTTTGACCCGTCTCAGTCGGGAAGACGTGCTGCTCGCCTCATGCCCGGTAAAGATGGTCTTCAGGCCACAGGCAGTCTGCACATAGCCTGCACTGGCCACAGAAGTGCCCAGGATAGTGACTGGATCCACCTTTTCCTTCCAGATGCCTTGGTTCCAAGTCTGTCAGTGTTGGGATGGCGCATGCCAGCCTCGTTGCCTCCGCATGGCAGCAGTGTTCAGGGCCTGCCTCAAGCCATGCTCAGGAAAGCTCTTCAGGCTGACAGCTCTGCCAGCACTTGCAAGGCAGGAACTATGTCTGAGAGTTGAGGCTTTAGTGGGACATCTTATTTTGGAAAGCACATGCCACGCTAAGATGGCCCAGCACTTCCTAGGGCCCTCTATTATGTTCTAATACTCAGCTTCTTGAAAATAGCACCATCACCTCAACTGTTTGTGAGGTTTTGTGTTAGATAAGAAAAATATACATTAACTCAACACAAAAGAAACATATCATAGGTTTCTTTTCTTACATGATAACAGCACTGAGGTGTTTCCAGGTAGCCGTATTTGCAGTTGACAAAGAGAAGGCAAGCCAAGTAAGGGCCAGATAGCAAAAAGCCTAAGTATTGCTTAATGCTGAAGACACATGTCTCAGGAAGTGCATAAAGATTCATCAGCAATCAAGTGCAATAGTTGTTTTAAAGGCAGTCTCCTTCTTGGATACATTTATTTGGTATATTTGAATATATAGCTTTGTACTTCCCCTGAGGAACTAGGTGGGAGAGTGTGAGCTCATCAAATGAGGAGTCAGAGCCCAATTCAGGCTGCATTATCAAGCAGTAGATTGGGCTGACATGTAATGATCTTTATACTCTTCCTCTTACCTGACAGGAAACTAAGAAGGAAGAGGGTAGATGTTGAAATGCTCAAGCTCAAAATTTGCCAAAAAATTTATTTTTCCTTAGCTGGAAAATCGAAACCAGTTTTTAATATCAGAAAAAAAGCATGAAAATTGTCTGTCATTTATGCTGACACTTTCCAAACATTTCTAATAGACTTTTATCCCAAATAAATGCAGGAATATATTCCCAACGTAATGTTTCTTTTGTGAAGTTATTTTACGCATTTCCCAAAATTCCAGGTAAGAAACTCTTTGCTTAAATGTTTTATATCTATGGTATTCCTGAAGCTAGTTAATGTCAGCTGGCGTTACTCCCATGAAAAAGATGAATTTTAGAACTACAGGTTAGACAGGGAAGGGCATTTATGCATGTAGTCAAAAGAAAGCAGAGACATTTCTAGGAGAGGGGGACAACAAGGTGGTCAAAGTCACAACTACTGATGAAGAAAAAGGATTTGCAGTGGGGAGAACAATTGCAGCAGTTGATGACTGTTAAAGCAGCAATCTGTTGAACAGAGACGAGGTCTAGTTTCCCATAGCAATAATAGGTCAGTACATTACAATTAAGTGCCTTTAACCTCACAATGTACAACGTGATCTCTAGTAGATCTAGTACAACTAGATCTCTAGTAACTGTTTTGGCAACGAAATGGTTTGGCAACCCCTTCACCTTCCTAAAGCCAGCCAGTCTCAAAAGACAAAATGCAGCATTTGCACCCCTTCAGCATGATACTGTCAGCAGCTGAACTTCATCTGTATTTATTCAGAGTGAAAACATCCACATTGTTGTTTCTTCTATGTTTTCTTTTATAGAATTTTTTGGTGGGTTTTCTTCATACTTGACTTTTGTTTCCTAGTAAATATATTCCAGCCTCCACCCGGAAAGGTGAGTCCCCATGCTGGATTTAAACTCAGCGTTGAAATGCAGACACTTCTTGGCTAATTCATGGGGAGGAAACCCTGTGGGTTTTGCAAATGTTACAACTTCATGATGTGCTGCTAGTTGCATGTTTTCTGAAAGGGCTTAGTGACTCATATTCAGCATTAGATTTAAGACTTGCTCTGTGCATTCGTGCCATATTGCACGCAAGCTGACAAAGCCCTTGGAATATAAAGCCTTCAAAAGGGCGATGCACAGATGCTCAGTAGCTCTCTAGTTGTCAGACTGGTCTGGCTGGGATTACCTGCCCCATCCCAGCACTGTACGGTGACATCCAGTATGCTCTCTCCCTATGCAAGGACTTCTGCATTTGCATGGACCAAATTTGGGTTTAAAAATACAGGCAGCCAACTTAATTTTTGCAGACTTAATTCACAAGCAAAACAGAAACCTGATTGTACACCAGTAACTCCACAAGATAATCTGAACATACCAGAGAAAGCAAATGCACTGGCATGATCTCGATAACCAGGGATTCAAAAGTAGAAGGAAAGTAACTTCAAGAAAAGTGTAAGAGAAGATGGAAGGTAAGTATATATCCATGCAAAAGCTACCTTAGAAACAAGAGCAGGGTAAGATCTCAAACCCCTGATTTACTCCTTTTATAGGTACAGAACACTGCCAGATTGAGAGCCGTATCCAGATGCATTTGCTTCCATTAAAAAAACAGTAGTGCAATACTGACACGTTACCAGCCACTGGCACACAGAAAATTGTCCCACCAGACTGACAAGAAAGCACGCAAAGCAGCTTTTGTCGGTACCTGACATTCTCC